TAGTCATAGTTTTATTCTTCACTTCTTCAAATCAGAGAGTCCTTCATAGAGTCAGATGGAGGCGCTCTTCATGGTCTGCTCCCCTGCTCTATCTGTTGATGCTGACTCCTCACGGCGAACCTGTTGACGTGCACCGGGATGGGAACGACGATTTTGGGGTTCCTTACCGGCTCTCCGGAGCGGTTGTTGACGTTCCCGGCTTTGATTCGTTTCCATTTGGCCCTGCGGTTCTGAAACCAGATCTTCACCTGAACTTCGCTCAGCTTGAGCGCATGAGCGATCTGTGAGCGCTCGGTCAGAGAGAGGTACTTTTTACAGTGAAACTCCTTTTCCAGTTCCAGCAGCTGCTCGCTGGTGAAAGCTGTTCGTCTCCTGCGGCTCTTCCCCGCCGAGCCGCCGCTCGGGAGAGACGCCTCCTGTGAGCCGCCTTTCAGCTTGCCTTTCTGGGACAGGCCGCCGCAGTTTGTCCCGTCTGAGAAACTTTCGTTCTCGCTGTCCGCAGAGCTGTCCTCCCTGTCGCTGCAAACCGCGTCCGCTGACTTTAGGTCCAGTTTTTCTTCGTCTGAACTGTATAATTTGGTCTCACCTGAAAAAAAAAAAGAAATATAATAATTAAGTAACAATTAATTTCTTTTTTTTTTTTTTTGGATTAGTTGGTGATAAATCCATAAAAGTGGAACTTTCTGCAAATATTATCCAAATATTTATGCTACGGCCTATATGCTCATTTATAATGAACCGTTTTGGCAAAAGGCCAAACATATGTTCAAATATATAGAAGCAACACAGAAAATAACAGGAAACTGAATTTCTGTTGCAGAATTGGCGTCTTTTTTTTTTTTAACGTCCTTTGATCTTTAATTATTCTCGTTGTTTATTACTTTTTTTCTGTCTCTCGTTACACAATAAAAATATTTCCTATTTATGCAATGAATGAAGTAAAGTGGAAAATTTGCCCAAAACTGAATCCGTATAATTTAGTTAATTCAGTGAAATTCTGTTTATTTTGGCTTGCGCCAGTTCAAAGTTAATGCAAATTTAAACCATTTTGCAAGAAAAAAAAATAAGATATGTACAAATCAATAAAATATTTTTCCAATACATTAAGAGATTCATTTCCCAATTATTAATTTTAGTTCAGTGAATCACACATTTAGTTGTGCAGAAATGAGTAGAGTTCCTCCAATGATCACATTTTGATGCTAAACAATAGATTAATAATGTTCTTAATGAATAAATAATTGTGTGTGTATTAAAATGTTATTTTTTTTATTTTAAGTTTTATTAAGTAACCTATATAGTCTTCAAAATCCTTCCACATGTAAGATTCATGTAAACAATGCAGATGTAAACAGGCCTTTATCCCCTTTTATAATAAAAAAAAAGGAAATATTCGCAGTTTGTCTGCATGCTTGAAATCTAATAAATCAAATGTATAAACTATTTTTTTTTCTTCTTTTTAATGCATACAGAGTGAACCCGATTTTTTCAGACACAAATGCATGTGATGAACAGGAGGCTTACCGGATATTGTCTGAAAAGTTTCTGAAAAGTTGAGCAGATCGGAGCCCTTGTCCCGGCTGTGCAGCTCATCAGAGTGCGGACTTTCCTGCCTCCTCGATCCGGGATCGGCTGCGCTCAAACGCGGACCCGGCAGCTCCTGTGGCGGATAGAAACTGTCCGGAGGGTCCGAGAAGCTCGGCATGGTGGTGGTGAGCGCCACCATGGACGGAACCCCCTGTCCCAAACTGGCGCAGAAGGTGTTGGTTAGCCGCCCGGCAAAGGAAGCTAAGGGCGCAAGAGGAGGTATGCCAGAGGAGAGAGGAGAGTGGGATAAAGCTTGCGGGATAACCAGAGGTCTGTAGGGCATGAACATAGGGTAACCCGTGTAGAGAAGGTGACCCGGTCTGGGTTGAGGGGTTCCAATCAAAGAGTCGATGGAGAACGCCGTCCCTTGCCCGCCCGGTCTCTGCATTGTTTTTCTTTGTTGTGGGGGAAGACCTGACAGTAAATGTCCTCTCCTCTGCGACGGGCAAAACTTTCAGTCTGAACACGGAGTGAAAGGAAAGTAGATCCTCTGCTGGTGTGTTGTCATCCCTGTTTCTCCTGATCTCTGCGCTCGTTTTACGCGTCTGACAGCCGGGGCCGAAGCGCCACCTTTTCCCCCCTCTTATTCGTTACACACTGAGACATAAACATACGCTCTCTCTATCTTTCTATCTACCCCCCCTTCAACCCCTGAGCGACTCCTCCTTCCCAAGCCCTCTCTGATGCGCACCGTGTGAGCGCGCGCAGAGAAAGAGAGGACGAGAGCGCATTGGTTATCATCTGCAATACAAGAGGAATGAAAAGAAGGGGTGTTTCCCTAGGGACTCATCCATCTTCCTCAAATTACGCTTCATTTCCTTATTCAGCCTCTGACTTTTTGGCCGTCTTGAGAGGCGGTAGTTTCCCAGTGGAGACCAAATAGACGAGCCGCACCCCCCCTCCTTTATTTGCCAGGTTCACCATTGACTGGCAAACGGTGTGAGAGACTGCTCCAGCCCTTCCCCTTCTATAATCGTTGACCACACCAACCCAATCAGCTATTATTAATTTTGATTGATGATAAGTAATTACTCTGGATGCAAGGGACAGCGTAAAAACGACGCGTTTTTCTTCTTCTTTTTTTTTGTGGGGAAGATTGGGGCAGATTGGGAGGAGAGGCAGATGTTTCTCTTAAAAAAAACAATGCGCTCGGCTTCAAGTGAAAAAAAGAAGTGCCACTGCAACAATTGTTCCCCGGAGAGAGATGCTCTGTGCGAAATTAGATCCAAATAAAAGACACTTATGCGAGGTCATCTGCGGCGCGGACGCGGGGGCGCATGGGCCAGAGTCAAAGCGGGGTTATTTGAACTGAATATGAAGAGAACTTTAATGTTCTTTTCAAAGAAATAACACAGACGTTTTCCTTTGAGCTTCTCTGGTGAGAGTAATTTGTCTCCAAAGAGATAGGCTACACATGGCGCATGGAAAAAAAAAAAAAAAAAGAAGAAGAAAAGAATCATTCTTCTCTATGCTTTAAGAAGGGGTTTAATCGCAGATCATCTCCCGCTTTAAATGGCAATGGAAGCTGATGATGATTAGCCCTATTGAGTCCTGGGTGCCCGGGCTCTCCAACTGGTCGTCTGATTGCATAAGGACATAAACATATCAGCACAGACTCTGATTAGCTGCTGAGGACCAGGCCAGGATAATTCTTATAATTGCAAGTGACTTCAGCAGTACCTCTCTCTAATCTACTGAAACCATTTAAGAAGCACCTCACATTTGTTTTTCTTTGTCTGCTTATTTTGCAGTTACACTGATCTAATATGAGCGACTTAGAAAAACAAATAAAATGTTATGCGAATAATAATTTGTAATTTATATTATAATGGAAATATATAAATAATTATTTCTAGGGAACAAAAATAGTGTAACAGAAATCTAGATTTTTAATAAAATGTTTTAAATTAAAGAGAAACTCAATCGACTTATAGCAGACTGTCACAAACCTTTAAAAAAACACCCCCAATTTATCTTATAACTGGGAACAATTTTGCTTATGTATATTGTGTTTTTAACCAGCTGAATTGAAGTTCTTAAACTCTGACTTTAGTAAAGATGGAAAGTTGATTCAGTTGAAAGCAGATATTTGCATAGACTTATAAAACATTTTTAAAAAGTCATATTAAACTTCAGTTTTCAATCAGCCAGAATGAACAGGATTATTTAAAATGACAAAATGGAAAAACAATAAGACATTTCATAATTTTTTTATTTTACTTTGGTGAATATCAGGGGTGTGCTCAAATTAAAATTAGCACTATTTAATCATCCCCATTTGAGGATCTTGTGAATTTGTAACCTTTCGCTACATTATTTTATATCATTTTATCAAATTTGAGACCAGTAGGTAATTTTAGGCAACACAAAGCTTTGTTTAAGGGATAAAAGGTAAAATCAAAAGAAAAACAGCAATATCCGAGGAACAGAATGATAAAACTACCAGATGTCTGAAGGTGACAGGTTATCTTTTTCCAACAGCTATAAAAACCATGAAGGTTTCCAAGGTTTTGTGCCTCTGAGATGAACATGTTTGCTTTGAATTGTCCAAATCATTATAATTATAAAATTTCACGCCTTGTAACAATTGTGTCAGGGAGTGGTTGTAGTAGAGGGTCAGAATCCAGACTGAAACCAGTGGTCTGAAAATCCATTCAGGGACAGAGATGCCATAACCCCAATAGCAACATAAAAAAGCAAGATTATGATTAGCAAAGAAATTATTTTAATCTGTAGGAATAAATGGAAACCCTATAAACCTATCATGAGAAGCACAGTAGTGGCAGCATATTGTGTGGGTGTTTTGATGCAGGAAGGACTGGTGCACTCAAAAAATAGATGGCGTTATCAAAACATAACAATACATTTCATTAATATATTGAAATAAAGTTGTAAGACATTACACCAACATGTTTGCCTGAAATCATATTTTTTAAAAGCAATTCCATTCAATGGTGAAACACAAAGAACAAAATAATTACTTAATTACTGTAAAGTTTAAAGAAGTTACAAAAATTGTACAATTATTCTAGCATTTAGCAATTATAAATAGCGTTGGTAATCTATTTAAATGTTAAAAAAAAGCCTAGTTTTATTTCTTATGTATATTCAGTATGTATATTTCTATGCACTGTAAGATAAAAGGTAAAATTAGTTTTAAACTCTATGCATGTATTCCTAATATTCATATACAGAGACAAAATCTATATCAGATATCAGCAAAAAATAAGTCCTCCACTCATATAAAGTCAATTAATCAGTTTAACTACAAATAAATGACACATGGACTATAAAACAAAATACTCTCAGAAAAGTATTTAACAGTTTGTGGAAGAGCAAAATCATTTACACACATTGCTCTGGAATGGTTTCTTTATCATTTGTTTTATGCAAACTTTCTTCAAACCTTATAGGTTATGGGGCCTCTTTCTATTCTCTGATATTAAGTTTGCACCATTTGAGTGGATACAAGCCAGACTGGCTAAAGCTTTATTTAAGTTTTACTTTCTTTCCTTTAACCTGAAGACAGTGTCAAGGTAGGAAATACTCAATAACACATTAAGCAATATAATTACTACCTAAACCAAAGGAGCAGGTCCGCTACTCATGTCAATGTTTTACTTTATCTGAATTTTGACATAAACCCCTTATTATAACATGCAAATATTTATGAAAATACTCAGTTCACAAGCCAAATCATTAAAGTATAATGTATACAGTCACAAAAAGTTATTCTCTTTATCTTTAAATGCAAAATAAAACCAAATATACAACATAAAAAAGTAAAATGCCAAATCCATCTCTTGCTGTATCAGTTCTGTTCTATAGCTCCCTCTTGTGGTGTTAAAACACCAATGAATGTGCTGAAGCAGTTGATCTGCTTTACAAGTGATTATGAAAAACAAGCAGCAGCTGCTTACTCAAGGACAAGGATTAAATAAAACTTCATTTGAAACCGAAACATAAAAAAAAGGAGAAAAAAATCATCTAACTAGTCTGCACCCCACCAGTGGACTTTCACTAACACAACAACATGCGTTCAGTGCACATATCCTCTGCACTCCAGGAGCAGGTAGTCCTTAATGAAGTTGGGCAGATCAAGCTTTGGGACCACTTTGTAAACTCGGCCTTCCAGGTAGCTCCTTAGTTTGCACCGCGCTAAGTGCTGCAGGGAACGAGGAGTCTTTGCCAAGGAGAAGATGGAGTCATAGAAGTCTTTGTGCTCCTGGTTGCATAAAAAAAAAAAAAACACAGGATAACTCAAATGACATTCACTGACTTTATGATCTGAATATACACTTTACATTAAATGTTATGTGAAATCACCATAAACTAAATATCATCAGCTTCCCATTGATTATCATAATGAATGATAATCTGACCTTGACAGCGCGGAAATGTATTTCATTGGCTAAGCTGTTGTATATATGTATTAATTTAAATTTGATTTCATTAAGCGGCTCATAACATAATTTGTTGTACGTTTGTGTTAGGTGAATTAAATTAATTGTAAGTAAAAAAGTAAAAACAATTATTCTGGTCATCCTCTTAAACATTATAAGAAAATGAAAGTGTGCTGTACAACGACTTAAAGAGGGTGATTGTAGCAGGTTAAGAAAAAAAATAGTTAAAATAGAAATAAAAAAAAAAAAAATTTGGGGGGGCCATTAGGTGATCTATTCTCCTATTATATAATTTAAACAACTTGCCTTGTAAGCATCTTCAGGGACAGACTCAACCCAAGCGTCTGTGACTTTCAGGTGGCTGTAGGCATTCAGGAGAACCTCAATGGTGTGTGGCGATTCTGAGCAGTGCTTCAAAACCTAAAAAAAAGGTTCACACTAAAGCTCTAAAAGTAAAGCAGTGGGATTTGTGCAATGATTTAAGTTCATGAGTGAGCTCTGTGACTGTAGAACTGAAGAAATAAAGTAATTAAACACTTGTGAAATGAACAGATTGGTCTTCCCTCCAGGGGTTTAACTGGAAATTATGCAATTAGTGCTAATTAATCTCCTATTAACACTTGCCTAATTAGGAACCAGGCATTTTGTCTAGTGCACGTGGGTTCACTGATAGTTGTAGTCTGTTCCCTGCAGAGATTGCCGCACTTTGTGTTGTGGCATGAAATGGTAATAATTTGAATGTAATCTTGTGATAGTCTGCAGTAAACACCATAGCAATCAAAAGTCAACCAATACAGTTAGTTACAAGCTATGTTGCTAAATTATTATCTATGACCGATCTGGATTGCATTGTTCTATAATGCTTTTGTTCTTTCACAAATGCTTTTAGATACATTTGAATTGTCACAAATATGCAGTTAAACATATAAAGCATTGCTGTGTGTTACTGTTAGTGATCTAAGCTTAAAGCTTATGGAACCCCAGAACTAATTTATTCTAGAAATTTTGAATATTGCATAGACAGTGAGAAAACGATATCTAACACTAAAAGGCTGGTCCCCAAAAATTTAACACAAGTACTTTAGTATGTCCCCAATACTTAGTTTGGGCTCTTTGTCCATGAGTTTTAATATTTTGGTACTTTTGGTATGAACAGCGAAAACAGATTCTCCATAAAGCTTACTAGCAGAGGTGTTTTAAATGTATGTGGTAAATGGCTGTGCTGACTTGAATTTGATACAGTCGACCTGCACATACAGACAGTTCTCCAGAAGAACTTTACCAAGGGGGGCTAAGGTGGGGCCATTGTTTTTTTTTTTCTTTCCATGGGGGTATAAAAGAAAAAAAAAACATAACACAAAAAAGCAGAATAAACCCAGGGCTAATGTGCATCATGTAGTTTACTGCAAGGTCGTAGACTCCTGATGTAACAGATAAAAACTGTGATCTTATCTTAGAACAACTGAGGCTAAAAGCTGGCTGTCATTTCTAAATAATTGGGTAAACTGTAAAGGTAAAAACATTTAATTGGTCCAAGGGATAAATCAATTAGGGTCTAGTCTGTCTGCACATATCATTGTAAGAAATTAATTTGATATTACACTGCCAAACTGATCTAAAACATAAAAAAAAACATTTGAATCTGTTTATTCCCAGTAAACTTAACAGGTAAATAAGGGGATCTTCCAGATGAATGACTATTTTTGCCATTAAAATTAAATTATTACATATAATCTACTTTAAATAGATGTTGAAGCTATTTTTTCTTTTTTGAAATATAAATGATCAGATATCCTACCTGTTTTACCTGCTTAAATTTAGGTAAAATACACTTATTTCAAGATAAAAAAAATCTTTTAACTTTTGCAATGTATGCCTTTAGTATAGGGGCGATAATATGGGCCAGGACCAGGTCTTCAAGGGAGCTGGCCTCTGTTGGTCCCTGCCTAGAACTGCCTTTGCATGCAGATAACACACTGCAAAAAATCAAAATCTTGATAAGTCATTTTTTCTTAAAATAAGTGCATTTGTTTTGAATTGAGGAGATAAAAGAGACATCTTGCCAATGGAACAAGACAATTTAGATTTAAAATAAGAAAACACAATTGCATTGCATTATTTCAAGTGAATATTATCTAATTATCTTATTTTTAGAGTAAAAATCCTGATTCCATCCCATTTACCTACTCAAATCAAAGGTAAATACACTTAATTTAAGAAAGTTTTACTTATTGCTAGATCTTTTTTTCAGTGCATGTCTCCTAAACCATCATCTGACTTTAAAAAAGAACTTCAAGCAAATAGGATTCTGTGCCTCCCAAATCTTCCGCCATGAAATGCAGAAGAAGACCTTTGATAACTGAGTGACAGTCTGTTTTTTTTTTTCTCATTAGCCTGGGTAAAAGTTTTTTCATGTTTTCTCTGGTGCCATTCAATGTCGTTGTGTCCTTGGGAAAAACGTTTCACCTGCATCGCTTACTGATGGTGGTACCTGTATATGGCGGCCCGCTTCTGTCAGTGAGCCCTAGAGCAGCTGTGGCTACAAGGTAGCTCGCCACCATCATGAATGACTGAATGTATTGTAAAGAACTTTGGTCAGGTCTCCTAACTTGACCAAATGACTGTATAAGTACAGGCGATTTACCATTTGATGTAGGAGAGCCTTAGCAAATAATAAAATAGCTCTGGCTGTTTCCCTAAATATGTCTCCAGACACAGTTTATACCTTCTTCATTCTTTTAACTTCCCTCCAATATTTGATAAAGCACTCTTTAGAAAAGGTATTTGGTTTTGCAATGGCCTTTTGTAACTTAATCTCATTTTGCAGGGTGCAAATAACTGTTTGCTGGACAACGGAAAGTCAACCAGTAACTGGTTACCACGTGGATATTATAAAACTTTGCATGTATGTTAGAAAAAGAAAAAAAACTATTCTTATGGTGTTCCAGTGAAATATTGAAATGTTCTTAAAACTTTTGATTATAAACCAGTTACAGAAATCAATAATATGAATGGATGAACTTATAAATCTAAACTATCTTTAATTTTTAGAGTAAACAATGAAAAGAAATGGACTTTTAATTCCAAGTGGCTGCAACTGTTTCCTACCACAGGGAGAGCACCAGGCCAGACTCGAATAGAGCCGTAGTTTAGTAAAGCACGAACAATCCTCTCAGGATGATGGGAGACCTTGTAGCACACCACCTTCAGGATGTTATGCATGGGAGCGTCTCCGCCATAGCCCATATTATTAACACAGGCCCCCTTGGCAAGCAGCAGATCCACTACATCTGGGTTTACGTTCTTACAGGCCATGTGTAAGGGAGTGTGTCTGTCCTGATCCTTAGTGTGAACATCAGCCCCCGCATCCAGCAGCATCTGGCACACCTTCGAGTAACTTCCAAGGTCCTTCATCTCCTGAGGGCGTGCACAAGCTGCATTCAGGGGTGTGAGACCCTCATTGTTCTGTTTATCCACTGAGGCTCCATGGCGCAGGTAGAGCTCAATATGTTCTCCCAGTCCGTTCCTGGCTGCAATATGTAGCGGAGAATCATCTTCATCCAGAGTACAACCGTTAATCGTGGCACCATACTGGAGGAGATACTTGGCACATCTGCCAGACAAATAGTAGAAATAATAGAATGTCTCAGGTTACAAATGGCAGCACTTACCACCGGGCTCACTTCTTTAGAAAGTCGGTCCAGAATGACAGTTAAAGAAGCATTTTATACATTGCCAGGGCCACACCCTGCCACATCAGAGCAACAGAGCTCTCTGCTAAGAATGATCCACTCTGTCTGTATGCTCCCAATCCATTCCTAAAGTTGTTTTACATACATAATTAATTAAAAAATTTTACTTTTTAAATAAACCACTTAGGAAAACATTAACCTCAACATGTATCAGGCAGGTATTATTAGAGTTTAACAAGCATATAATGTACATGAATAATTTCATAGAATCCTAACAATAGGATAAATAAGGACACCTGATTCCAAACTTTAAATAAGAAGTATAGAATTTTTACAGCAACAACAGAAATTAAAAGCTGTAACATCCAGAGCCCTACAACGTCTTGAAATAATGCCTTGGTAAATGATCTGGAAATAAGAAAATCCTGCTTTACCACAGCTGGATAAAAATATGCAACTCTGCTTGCCAACCTTTCACAAAATCGCTTTTTTTACAGCCTCGTTATGTGATTCCACTGATTTTATCTTAGATTTTATTTGCGGATTCTGTCTTAGCTTTGAAATCTTTAATTTTCTTCTTGTGACATCATGCTATTGTTTATTTGGATGTGGTGCTGGAAAAACAACAAATCTCCTAATTTAATCTAACTTGGAACAAAAAAAGAATCACCAGAGAAATCTGATTTTTTATTTTTTTTTATCAGCATAATGCTGCCACCAAAAGGTTTCACAGTAGGTAGGTAGGGTTTTCTCTTTATATAAAACAAACTATAAAAGAAAGAAAGACAATTGTTTACTTTTTTTGGTTAAATTACCATATTTTTGTCAAGTTTAGCCCATAGACATTCATTAAATTTCCACGGTTTTGCAGCCTGGCAAGCACGATTTATACTGCATAGTAGTCTTGGTTTATTTCAACACATTTTTGTCTTTGCAAACACTGCAAACATTCAGCCTCCAGTGAAGCTTATCAGAGTTGTTGCTGTTAGCTTGTAAGCCTTCACAACCAGCTTATGTATTTTCTTTTCATCAGTTTAGTAGAAATGTCCTTTTTTCCCAAATAACTGTCCTATTTTTTCTGGTAATTGACAAGCCGGATTGATACCATTGAACAATGTTATCCTTTTGATCCTTTCCAACATATGACAAAGCCAAGGCCTGAAGGCCAAATTTGACTTCACATGGAATTTATTTGGCCCTTAAGAGCCTTAAAAGGTAAAATGGTGTAATAAAGTATAGACATTTACCAATGCCGTCCCCTGCCATGATGCTAAAGCTCCTTATTGATACCACCCATATTCTGTCAATGTTTGGGAGAACCTACCTGCGCAGACAAGCTCAAATACAGGTCAAGCCTTATAGATGGCAATCTTTGCACAGTTTTAAGGATGAGGAATGACTTGATACAAATTTCTTTAGTATTCATTAGATTTAGTGTTTCATATGCTTTCATATATCCAAATTTTGCAATTGAATGCAAAATGTCTGTTATCGTTTGTTTTAAAATACTGCTCACACATGTTCTTTTTCTTTGTCTTTATAAAATTTCACAAAAAGCTGTGAAATGTTTCTTTCATGTTTCTCATGAATTTTAACATTAGAAGATTTACCTTTAGTAAAGTAATTATTGTTTGTTCGCTAACCTAAACATGTATGAGAATAATTGAGCTTCTTTTTGATAATTAAATGTTGAATCGTATCTTTATTTTAGGTTAATCTGATTTACAACACCTGATGTCAGGTGATAACTCAAGAAGACTGAATGCTGAAGCTGGATCCTAAAAGTTGTGCAACAGAAGAGTTTAAAGTTGTAAAAGATATTATAGCTTGGATTACTGGAACATTTTTATGCTTTATATTGTTTCAGAACCTGATTCATTTGATGTTAAGGTAAACTGTACTGGACATAAATTCATAAAATCTAAAAAAATAATATATTGCCCTTATTTTTAATTGTTAAGCAGTTGCTCCAACTATTAGGATAAACAAAATCCTGATACAAGAAGTATAATAGGAACAAGCTTGTAGGGTTTTAATTATACTTATTCGTACTCACTCAAGTGATTGAGGACTTGTGCAAACATGCAGAGGCATAAGCCCGTCTTCAGAGACAGCATTGGGGTTCGCTCCATAAATAAGCAGCAATTTGGCGCACTCTGCCTGGCAGCTTTCACAGGCCTCATGCAGGGCAGTATTGCCTCCAGGAGCCAGGTCTACATTTGCTCCACGTTGAAGCAAGAGGCTCAGGCAGTCTGCAAATCCTCGGCCCGCTGTGATGTGAAGAGGGGTTGTCAACTCTTGTTCATACGTCAAAGACCACAGTCCTGTCAGCAGGAGCACAAGCAACATTTTAGAGTGAATTTAAAAAACAGTACACATATTGAAGCAGTTTTTTTTTTTTCTTAAGCAATTTAGGTTATAAGCTCACATCACAGTGTCACTTAAAATGAAAGAGTGTTTTTAAAACCTACTGAGGCCTCTGTAGTTAAATCTGAAGTTCTTCCACTCTTCTAAATTGCTGGTGTCATAGATGGCATCAATGAGGTAGCTGTGCTCCTCATCGTCCACGATGCTCAGGATGGTCAGTGCATCACCCACAAGCAGACAGTTCCAAAACTGGAGGACGCACCCTGTGGCCTTGGCGGTGGCGATAACATCTTCGCGGTACTGCTTTTGCTTTTTCCACTTTATTTTAGGTGCCAGATAAGCCATGTCCAACTTATCTATGTTGTTTTATTCATTAGCCAGTTCCCTGGTTTCTGATGTAAGGAGCTGAAATGTGGGTTGTTTGTGCAGGCAGGGCTATTTCAGGGAGGTGTTACAAGATACTGTGGGTGACTTTTTGAACCTCAGCCATGCAATGGCATGGAAGCCAATGACAGTGCATTTTATTATAGCTGGCTTGTTTTCAATTAAGCAACAATAATCCACAAATGATGGAATTTTAGAATTGGAAAAACAACATGCTTAAGGTTGCTTTTAGGAAGCATGAAAGTATTGTAATATCCAGGACATGTGCAGACTTTTTAAGTATAACCGTCAGTTCTGACTGTTGAACATTAGGAGGTCTATAAATACAGCCTCGTGGTTTGTTTCCTTAAATATAACATGAGCGTGTGTCTAAATACAGGTGTCAGTATAGCATACCTCCACATTTTAATGATCAATAGCGACGTAATTTCCAAAATTTTGTAATGTTATGAGAAAAGGATTAATTATCAGTTAAGTTTTTTGTTAAATTAGAGACATTTAGCTCTCACCTTCTCCCCGGGCCGTCCAGCGCATCTCTCCTCCTTGTGGTTCAATGACAAAGTTCACCTTCGACCCTCTCGGAAAGAAACGCTTTAAAGCCTCCATATCTCCTGTATATAAAGCATTGTGGATCACCACATCTTGGCAGACAGTTGGTCTCTGGGCCATTGATGAACTCCTTTGCACTCTGTCCATTGCCTCCTTCTTCAGGAAATAGCTGCTAAGGTGATGGGTGGCAAGCTGTGTCTTGTACTTGTGCCTCTCCAGCATGTCCTTATCAAGTTCAAGAGAACGCAAGGCCGAAGATGTAAAGAAAAAACTGCCTCGAGACATGCTAATGTTTGGGAATAAAAGAGTTTTTTTTTTTTTTTTTTAAATAAGTAAGAGTATGTAAAATTGAAGCAGTGAAAAAAAAAAAAGACTTGCCTCACATATGTTTTTGTTGTTGAACTCTTTGGCATCTGTCCACCTTCTCCCTTGCAGGCTCTCCACAGGGTTGGTTTGCAGAGTTGTTTTGATATGAGACCCACCCTGCAAGTTGGGCTATTTTTATGTTTCACATGCCAATGCTCATACCACTCCGTTTGCCTCCAGTTAGCCATGAGATTTTATCAGGCTGCAAGAAGCAAAGGCCTTCAAATATGTAATGATGGTTAAATTTTTCTTTGTTAATTTACTAGGACACAGAACTTTATGCAGGATGTAACTATGGAGGATTATTGCAATAACCTTTGCAATTTTCCTTGTTATATAAATATATCTAGACGCACTATACATACCCCATGCACCTTTTTCTCCTTTTGGCATGTCCTTTTGACTATTGAGCCGATGCGACATTGTAATGTCTCCACTTTGAGATTAATAAAGTCCATCTAATCTTATCTTATATGATCATTCTTTTTCTGGGTGCAGCAGTAGTGTTTTAAAGGAAGATGCAAAAAAACAAACAAAAAAAAAACAAGGGACAGGTGTAACCTTCACATCAATAGCTATGGTGAAAAAATATATTCACAGGACAACTAATTGTTGTGGGTTCAACAAATCTGCCCCATATAGAGTATTGTTTACAATAAAGCCTGTTCACAATTCGCCAACACCAACCATGTAAGCGCACTGCTCAGGTTAGAGCAGAAATTTATTGTTTAGTTCAAAAATGTGTTCCAAAAATAACTCTTCATGTCATGCAGAACACAACATTGGACAACGGTGGTAACAACATCATACTGCAGGAATAATCATCAGCAGGGTTAGAAAACTGGAAGATTGATGCAGCTTTATGTGATTTAATACTGGAAGAAAACATCTTAGAAGCTATAACAATTTTGAGACCAGGGTAGAGATTCACATTACAGCAGATAATAAGGAGCTTAAAAAAAATCTGATCTGCAAAGAAGGCAGAGAGATACCCGAAAAGGACTTGAAACTGTAGGGGACAAATCTATAATGCGATGACTCAGGATGTCTAAATAAAAATATATCCCAAAACGTTAAGCTTTTTATTATTATTAAAAAAAAATCTAAACCAGAACCTTTTTTGTTCTCATATAACAAAATGTGTGGAAGCGTCTATGACAGGAACTGTAGTAATGATCCTTAGATCCCTATTTATTGTGAGCGCCAAGTCAAAAATGTAAAGAAAAAGGACTAAATCAAACATTTGATCAAATACTTCTAGGCAGTTGCAGGAAGATCAGATAAGAATATCATCTTGTAAGCTTATTCATGTAGCTTAGGAAATGTCATTTTCTGCACAAAATGTTATTTTTTCCCCTCAAAGCTGTAATGGATTTTTTGTATCCACATGGCTCCCCTGCATTAGAGCATTAGGCTGAATGACTGGCAACCACTGTGTCCCTCTGCCCCATGTGCAGAGCTTGGATGACGGAGGGACGGTGCATAATTAAGCCTCTTGAGCCTATTCACTGGACATTTGATAAACATTGCTTTTGACTGATGAATTACCATTATCTAGTGATAGAAATGACCAGAAGCTGCGTAGATGATGAAGACAAGCATTCATAACTCATGGTTGTGACCCAGAACCACATTTCAGTTATTTTAAGGTTGACTGACATTTTTTCATCAGACCTTCAGCTTTATTTGGCCCACGATGCATTAAAACATACACATACGCTTATCCCCCTCTGTGAGTGGAATCTGTACCGATATGACAGAAAACAAGGTTTACGCCACAGGTGGAGAACATGAAAATTGAAGAGGGTTTTACCTTATTTGCATCTGAAAACACAGAGGCATCGCTGCATGTCTTCTGTACCTTAATGACTGTTCCTGTATGGAAATCAAGGTCATTTATTTCATGTTACAGTTTGGTAATAGATGCCACATTAAACAGAACACGAGTAAGAGTTTCAACTTTGAAAACACACATTACCAAAGAGAGAGACTAGGAATATTGTTTTTGCGGCTGGAGTACATCCTTTTAAATGATATACATAATGAGTTTATAATATGCATCTGGGCTACCTCCTCTCTACTTTGATGTCTTCCAAATGGCCCGGGTGTCATCAGCAAAACATGTAGGCACTTTCCTGCCTCATTGACTCCCAAATGTATTTTAAATATCATTCCTGGTAACGCAATTATTTAAAACGCTGAACTAAACACTTACTAATGGGGAAAAAGACAGCCACTTCGATAAATTCATTTCTCATATGGTGGGCATTCGTGTTTTGTATCTTTCTTTTTTTTTTCCTTTTTCCTCTGTGAAGCCGAGGCAACTCTGATGACATGAAAAAAAGCAGCAGCAGCAGCAGCAGCGGCGGCACCCCCTGCCCTCACAGCCCCCCTGCGGACATTTTGGATCTGTGGTTTCCCTCATATCACCCAATAGTAACTGCCTTTCCAAGTTTTTCTGCCCTGTGGTCAATCGCCTTTCTGTCCCCAGGGCGGTGAGAGGCTGGACATCAGCAGCAGTCTCTGATGAGAACCAGCCACTTCATTTATGCAATCATAGGCAATTAGTTCCCTCTGATTATGAGGCCCTTAATGCTATTTTGAGTACTGTGGCGCACATTAATACAGGAAGAGATTAAACTACAACCCTCCCACCACACGGAGCAGCCATTTAATATACTGAGAACATAATGAAATGTACACAGTAATTACAGTAATATTAAATGCTAATGGGCTTGCAATTGGATCTGCTCTTAGTTTAAGATGGAGTAAGAGCAACCAAAGGGAGCCGAACACCATAATAGCACGGAAGTACTCATTTATCCATCAGGTTCCTCTTAGTTTTATGATTTATGCAAGATTTTCCTGTGAGGAGCCATAGGTTGATGTTGGATTCGAAGATTACTCAGTTTTGGAAAGGGAGCAATTCATTTGCATTTTGAAGAGCTAGGAAAGAACGAAGTATAATCAGAAATATAAACTTTTTGACATTGCTGTTTCTATGACCTAAAACAGCTTTAATGGAATTACATGTGATAGATGGTGTGTGTTGGAAGGAAAGGGATTCAAAACCTTAAATAATAAATGCAATATATGTATAAACATTTTGTGTCAAGATTTTTTAAGAATCATCTTTCACTGCAGATGCGACTGTAAGTATCTAACTTTCTTCTATTTGTTGCTCTAAGTAAAGGTTCCAACTGTGTGTTTAGGGTTGCTGTTATACTGGAAATCCAACCTCTTTATATCCTTTGTAGCTCCTAACAGACTTTTTTTTCAGGACTGCCTTACAGCTTCTGAAAGTCTGATGAGGAAAAGCATTTTCACAGCATGAAGGCGTCTCCCCCTTCCACTGCAGTCAGGATAGTGTGTTCTTAGTTGTTGGAGTGTTTTTGTTTTCTACACACATCTTGTTTTGTATATGTACAAAGAACGTGAACACTTTCATCTGACTTGTCCCAATCACTTTGTTCCACACGCTTGCTGTGTCCCCTGCATTACTTGTTATGAAATCAAAACATGACTTCCTGTGAATTTCTGTTTGGAAGTTCTTAAAGTCCAGACACGTGTAGAGACGATGAATGATAATAATAATAATAATCCCCTAGAAGTAAAAGCATAATGTCCAAAGTTCTGTAGCGTCTCAAGTAAACTTGAAAGCAACGCAAAGATGGACTCAATTTACTGAAGAATTATCTTCTTAAGCCATTTTTTTTATGTTTTATTTGAGAGCATCAGAGTGAAGTAAAATGAATGAATTTGCATACCCAACTTTTTAGATTTGTTATATTAAAAAGCCTAATCACTTATATCCAACACTGATAAAATATCTGAATGTAAAGTATGAGAAGAAGGTTGATATTTAAGTTTTTACATGTTTTGCTTTAAGCTCACTGAACAAAAATGATACAGCGTTAGAGGTTTGCACTGTGATGTTACAACATCTCATAGGCGACCATGGAAACCTGATAGGAGATAATGAGGAATCCTAATTGGCTGCTGGTATTATGAGGAGCCGGCTTCAGATTTCCATCTCTAATTATACGTATTTCAACAGACACGTGTTTGGAGAGCTTGTTGCTTTTAGAAGATTCTCCGATAAATATCCCTCCTATTTTATTCAATTTGATTATAAAAGTCAACCACCAGACCTGCACAGGATGCCCTGTTTGTAAATCTCCCCCAGATCTCTTTAAATGTTAGCAAAAAAACTTGCATGAATTCAACGAGCTTTGAATTGAACAGTAACTCTGAACTCATGGAGGCATAATTACTTTTTTCTGTGTTCTTTCAGCTCGGACCACTCTGCCTATAATGCATTGTATCGAGGCTGCGCGGATTCCAATTGTCTCTCTATGCGCTGATCACCACGCAAATAACCCTCTGTTTCATCATGACAATTGAAAGGTTCATATTTCAACTTAATAGTCCTTTATAACTTTAACCATCTATCACAACCTCATTTCATTGTGGCTGCAGTTAATACGCGCTTCCCTGCCAAGTGGAACATTTTCTAATGATGCACTCTCACATGAAAACAAGGCAAGCCATCCCAAGCTCTGCATCACTCACTAATGCACCCATCCAT